TTTTGCCTGCCAACCTGCAGTCTGAGAGCATAATTTAGGCCACCATCACATGTTCACAATTGTTTTGCATCTCATTGCCTCCATTGCAGAGTTACTTGTGACTGTTGAGGTGTCATTTTATGGTTGTGGAACATGTTGGTATGATAATTTAGAAAATCAACCCACTGCAATCAAGAAGATGAAAGATGATGCTACCTTTTCAGTCTTGTTTCCTGCTTTCATATTCAGTCCTTTCAGTGTTCTTTCTTCATATATGACTCTATTACTTAAGTCCTGTAGACTAACCTGTTCAAGATCTAAATAATTCTCTTCAGTTTTATATCATCACTGAGAACTTGATTTTTGTCCAAAAGCTCATATAATCAATAACCAGTATTGTTTGAACAAGGTTCGCTTTTATAAAAAAAAAAAAAAGGAAAAAAGTAGTGAAATGAAGCAGAATGAAGTAAAAGATCCTGCACCTCTTGTTGGTCTTGTAATTGTAAATGCCCTACTGAGAATTATTATAGACTCACCAGTTGTCCTTGGCCCTATAGGATACACCAAAATTGAACCATTCTAATCTATTCTTTCACTTCAACCAAGTACTTGAACTGATGAAGAGAGAAAAAATGTATTTCAAAGTGGAAACTCATCAATTGGGGAAATGGTTAACAGATACCTTGAAAGCTTGAAGGTCCAGGGACACGACATCAACCTTTTGTGTCCAATGATGGACCAATCACTGTGGCTGCTCTTCTAATTCACATCCCTCTCTCTTCAGCTGCTAGACTAATCCTGCTAAATTTACCAGAGAAAAAACTTTAGCATGCCCCTATAATAATAGAAGTATCCACATCTGAATGTTTAAACACTGGATCTTTCCAAAGCAAATTACACCACGTGCCATAGTTGCCTTTCATTTACTAATGTCATTTCAATCTGTGACCAATATACCAACTATGCTACCAAAAATTTATACGCACTAAATTAGCACTGAAATACCATGGTAACCACTATTCTCTGTCTGCTGTTTCCCTGACCACAGAGTTTAACAATTCTACAGATACTATTTTCTTCTTGCACCCTGTTGCGTTTTTGCCCTTTTCACATTCATTAATTTCATATGTGTTTTCTCTTCTGGGGAAACTATTTTCTTGTCTTGAGTATAAGATTATATAGTCAGCATAAATATTACTGGTTTACTGTGTGCTGTGTTTATGCTAAGTCCACTTGAGAACCCCTTTATTAATTTTAATTGTCCCTCTCAGGATGAACTTTGGTTTCTTTAAAAACCTGTAAAGAAATTGAAAAATACCACCGCTTTGGTTTTTCAGCTATAGGCTATCTCTTTTCATCAATCTAATATGCTGGTGTTCTGTTTTACTGAGAAATTCCAGGAGAAAAAGATGAGTCAAAGTTTCCTGAGCCATAAGAAGTTGTACTTGTTGGGTTTTCTGAGCTAAAATGAACATTGGTATAAAAAAATGCCAAGGTAACTAACTTGATGTAAGTTCTTTCATGTCAGGTAACTAACTTCTTGTAAGAATACAATTTTTAGTTTATTAGTCTAGTGAACTTCAACCTGCCTTGATGAAGCAAATTTTCTCTGAATATATATTTCATTAAATGCTTTCAATTAAATGTAAGAAATCACTTTTCTATTATATGACTTGGAAACACAATCACTAGGAGAGGTTGTGGAGTCTCAGACCTTGAAGACACTAAAAATCTGACTGGATGCAGATTTTGTGCAAACTTATGAAGGTGACTATACCTTGTGTAGAGGGGTTGGATTAGGGGATCTCCTGAAAGGCCTTCTCACCTCAGCTACTCTGTGATTTTCTGAACTGCAAATTCTGTGGAAATGCTCTGATTCCAGGCACCAGAGGACAAAACAATACTACATTGCCTTAGGGGCACCTCTCTGGCCAGTCTTGTATTGACCAAGTTGAAGAGAATCATTACTCAAAAGCAGCTAGCTTTGTTCAAGTATAAACCACCTATCAAAAGGGAGAAAAGTTAGACTAAAAGGGATGTAAAAAACCCAATAAGTAAGATTTAGATTAACTCTTGATCTTTTTTTACTACTTCAAACTGCATCTCTTTTTTCCCATTAGCTCTTCTATTTTCTCCTTTTCCTGGAAAACAATGTTTTTGTCATTTAGACAGGCTTAATGAAAGAAATCCACAGACAAGGCTGCAGAAACAAAATAAATTGCTTAAGTGGAAAAGAAAACAACCTTTGTTTCCTAAGTTCTTGTTTTTCTATTTATCTCTCTTTGTCAGGCTTTGTATAGTACAAAGCTCACCCGAATTCTGGCTAAGTTATATTAGAAAGGCAGAGATAAGAGGTCATGGGGTTGTCCAGAGTTGAAGGATGCCCCTAAATAACAGGATGTGCTACTTTCAGGACTAGTAAGCTTGGGCTATTCAAGCTCAGTACACTATAATACAAAATGTTTCGGAGATTTCCTGACCAGATGGAGGTTCACCTCTCCATACTGTATAGCCAATGCTATAAAACCAGAAAAAAAGTGTGCTAAAGTAGCTGTCAAAATTTCAGGAAATGCAGAAGAAGAAGATACAGAGAAAGCCCATAATTTTTAACCTGCTAAGGTCAGAACATCATGTTAGTGAAAAATCAGTCTTGTATTAGAAATTTACCCTGAACTCCTGTAGTCACATTCTTTACTCTGCTTTGTCTAATCAAATTTTGCCATCAGCCCAATGATACAAGTGAACAAATATTAGTGAACAAAAATTAGCTGAATGCTACCTTCACAGACAGGAAAAAAAACTGCACTGTCTGCATGGAACAGGCAGGTGCTGCTTCTTTTTTGCATTCTTGAAAAGAAATAGATTCTGTGTCATTTATTTATCTATGTAGGTGGCCCAAGAAAGCAATCTGGGTGAGTTTTTTAACTTCAGCTTATCTGATCTAATTCTCAATAAAAGGCTATATAGATTCCTCAAACTCTGTGTGGTACAGTAGGATTTAGTGTAGAAGTAGAGAAAGGTTAAGTACAAAGGAGCAGTGTGAGGCTGTTCTCACCTACACTAGTATTTACTTGGGCTCATTTTACAGGGCTTGAATGTATTTGCAGTTGCAGCTTGACAGGATTTGGGACTGAAAATGGGGAGAGAGGTGATCTTAAGCTGAACACAATATGGAAGAAGAGAACAGAAAGTAGTTTAGTTAAAGCTTTTTTTAAGTAGTACGAAGAACAGGGGAGCAAGAGATGGAAAAGAAGAACAATCCTGCATCTGTTCTATACATGACAGAGAGACATTCTTCTTCAAGATTGTGCTGGGACTGTTATACTATCAGAAAATTTTCTTTCTGCTTAAAATAAAACCAAACAAGAAACAACTTTTAATCAGTACCTTCAGCCTACATCCATTTAAATTATGGTTCAGAAAGTTCTTAAGGTAAACAAAACAATTCAGGTGAAAATCGCCCAGTTTAATCATGGGTATTTGAACAACAAATAAATTGCAATTCTCTTGGTAGATGCTGAATCAGCTTACCAACAAACACTGCAATATTAACTATTCTGAACCAACCTTTTTCTAAATCAGACGGAGGGACACAAGGGCAGAGCTGATAATATCAAGCATTACAAATGCAGCATAATAACACTTCAAGTGCTTATCCTCGGATTTTCTGAGGTGTTTCTCTTTAACACACACACATTATTTCCATGTCCATTACAAGTTGTTGACAGAAATGTTCTCTGCTGACTTAACAGCATTCTTCTGAAGGCAGGGAGTACTTTGCCCCTGCATCCAACTTAGACTGTGTCTAATGTAACTGTTCTGCCTCATTTCCACCATATAACTTTTCAGAAATTAGGCACCAGCAAACTTGCATTGTATTTTTTATACTATTTTCCCAACAACTTACATGATGGTAAGTGTTTTTCACTACAATATTAATGTGAGCAGTCATAAAGGTGGGCTGGTGTATTGGGTCTGGCTGAGCTGGACTTCATTTCCCCATAGTATCCCTGACAGTGCTGTGCTTTGCCTTGGTAGATAGAAGGATGTTGATAACACACTGGTGTTTTGGCTGCTGCTGAGCACAGCATCAGCACTGTAACATTCCTTCCTCAATTGAGGGCAAGATCCTGGGAGGGGACCCAAGTAGGCCAGCTGACTCAAACTAACCGAGGGAATATTTCAGACCATATGATGTCAGCTCAGATATAAAAGCCAAGGCAGGGAGCAAGAAGGTGGGCATTCATTGTCTCCAATGGCTGCCTGCTGAGAAACCATTACATATGCTGAAGCTCTGCTTCTCGGGAGCGGCCAACCATCGCTGCTGATGGGAAGTAGAGAATAAAGTGTGCAATCTTTCACTTTGCTTCACTTTTGTGCATGCAAGCTTCCACTTTGCTTTCTCTTTAAATAAACTGCCTTATCCCAACCCCTGAGTTGTTTTTCTACCTTACTGTCTCCCCTGTCTGGCTGCGAAGGGGAGTGATAGAGCAGCTGGGTGGGCATCTAGCATCCAGCCAAGGTCAACCCACCATACCTGGTTAAAAAGAGAAAATTACTGAATGGAAGAAAATGGCTCCTAGAAAATACTGAGAAAGAAATTGTCTGCCAAAGCAGGAGCTGGAAGTCTCAGAACTAGGCCTGTGAACCAGAAATGTCCTTAAAAAATGCATCTGGTAACTTTGGAGGACAGCTGGGGTATCAAGAATCCAGAGACATCCTGAGATACCATCAGTAAGAACAAAACCAAGAAGCCCTAGTGACAATTTATCATCTGAAAAAGTAGAAATAGCCAGGGTAAATAAAATTAGTCTTGAGGAACTGAAAGCACAATTTAATAATTTAATTATTGGCTGTTACAGATGAAAAATCGAAATTAGCAACATTATTGACTGCTTGAAGTGGTGTAGTCCTACTCCCTCTTATATCTCTAGGCTATAAAAAGCTGCATTTTTATTTAAAATGGAGTTTCTTTCTCTGAGAACTTCTCTTTCTATAAATAATTTTCCTTTCCTGAAAAGGTTGAATTTCACACAAACTTTTTCTACAAGATTTTGGATGCTCACTAACGGTGTCCAGATGACTCCGTGACGTGGACCCTCTTTGAAGTGACTCTGTCTCTCATTGTGTCCACTTTGGTCCCACCTTGGGGTCAGTTTCATTTGTCCTCACACCTTTGGGATGGTTGGATCCAACTTTGGGACTGATTTATCCTCCCCTTGGGATGGTTTCACCCTTTCTGAAATATACTTCCCTTGGTACCCCTTCTATATATATCCATAAAAGTAACCTATCATAAGAATATCTGCTTTAATATTGTTGATAAGTTTCTTCGCTAATAAGTTGATTATAACCTGTAATGTACCGACTTGGTTGCTGTTATTATATTGGTTGTTGCTATAGGATTGCTTGTTGCTGTAATTGATCACTGTCGTGTTATTGATTGACATTAATTAATCATTGATTGCTGACAGTAATTTGTAATAGCTTGATATATTTATATATATTTACTTTATTGATCTAAGGTATACTTTCTAGTGGTGATTTCTGTGGATTTGTGATAATCTGCAATAAAGTAGAGAAATTTAGAGGATAAAAGCTTCCATGTCTTTGTGTATTAAGAAATCCTATGAGCCCAATGTGGCACTCTCTGCACACCCATAGTCTTAGGTCATAACAGCTATCTATATGATTATCCACATCATATATCCATACACTGTATATGACTTTTTTTTCCTGTGTGTTGTGTCTTTCTTTACTCTTGGTAAAAAGAGAAAGAAATATTTTGATAGAAACTCACAAATCTACATGGTGAAGCTACATCAGTGAAACTCATCTTTAAACTCCAGATTTGAATTTTGCAGGCTAAAACTTTGATTCAACCCATTACTGACAAACTGTGCATTTAGGAGCCAGAATTCAATAAGCCTCTCACTTGTATTCTTTTGCTTACTCTTGCAAACAGTAATTAAGTGTAATTACATGGAAAAAGTGTTGATTGAAAAATGTATATTTGCAAACCTGACTTTTGAATTACGTTTAAAATATAGATTCTCTGATCCCTTTATTCTCCAAACACAGCAGGAAATTGCAGTGCATACTATCTTTTCAGTGCAACAGATCTCAGGATAGCTGTAAGAAGGGTTGTGTTCTATGCAGTCACATTTGTCTTTGAAATACATTTTTAAGAGGGGGTTCAAAAATAAAGGCATTCATTGCACAGAGAAACTGGCTTGTAGGTTCTAGAAATAAAATGATGCAATTATAAAATAAAAATTTTCTGTGTTGATTCTTTGTTTCAACTTAGTTACTCTGTTTCAGAAGTCACTTATTGAGGAATTTTGCTGTGCCATAGGGACAAAATTACTTCTACAGCATATTTCTCTTTGTAGACAATTACTTATGCTTTATCTTTTCAGTAAAAATGCAGACTTTCAACATGAACTTAGGTATCTGTTTCACTATCTTGCACAAAAAATAAGAAATAGCCTATCTAGACTGTAGAATATGTAAGAAAACATCTTATGTGTGATATTTATAAAGTTTATGTTTTGCTGTTACAGTAGAAATAACTCAAAATATAAAATGACAATAATTGCATGCTATGATTAAATAGGAAATCCATATACAACTAAAAACTAAAGGATTTTGTTTACTCCCTTGATGTCGCCTTTGAGGTCTCAATAAAATAGCAATGGACAAAAGTACAAACGTTCAGAACTTATTTCTTTATAGCTTCTCTGAACTTTTTCTGCCCTTTAAGGAATTAAAGAAGAAAGAGAAAACTTTCATAGAACTTTTCTCTACTATACAACAAATTCAAAATAACCATGAAGCACCTCCTTCTATTGTGCAATTAAATCCATTTCAAGAAGGAAATCATAAGTTTGATTTTGCTCTAGGGAAATATATTTTTAATATTTCCACCTCAAATCTGTCTTTCACAGATAAAAAAGACAATTTGTTCTAGTTGAGGATAAAATTAAAACATACTTATTACAAATTAACAGAATCATCTTACAGATTCTAAATATAATCCTACACATAATGAACATTATAGCTCTACATATGATAAATGAAATTAATTCGATTAAAGATGTGGGAGCACAAAAAACCCCAGCTGGACTATCAGTAAAACAAGCTATTGTTTGTTGTGGTAAGCTATCTCTTGTATACCAGTAACAGTGGCTATTGAGTTCAGCCCAGTGCTGTGAACATCTTCAGTTGGGAATTAGCTTGTGATCAGAGTTTTCGAATATGCATCATTTAAATATCAGATTCTTAAATCTGTAAGGTATTAACTTAGAGAGAGTATCTCTGATAACCACTACAAATTGTGCAAAACAGTGCAAATTGTCTTCAACTCATTTAGCAACTTTATATTTAACTCCAAATTAGGAAATGTTATCAATTACAAATCTGGTCTTGGTTCTTCTGTTTTCAAAATAGTATACTGGCCATAACTACTGTCACATGAAAGGTAGGAGTCCAGATTTTTGCCTGACGCTACCCCCAGGAAAGTTGAGACCCTGGTGTCCAACAGTCTGTCAGTATCTCGTAATGAGACCCTTCACCAACAGATTCACAAGGTCAGAGGGTACCTCAACCACCCTTGTTAGGGGGGACTCAACAGGTCCTGCCTGCAACTGCTGCCAGCAACTGCAAGGGCTCACTCTAACAGTTTACGGAATAACACTTTTTATTAATACAAATTGTGAGAGATTAATAAGGTTCGAAGGTTGTGGGTGATAGTGTCTACTGCAAAAATATGATTTAAAGCAATCTACTGATACATATATTAAGCAAGCTCAAGCTCTTATATGAAGCAATCTACTAATATTCTATAGGGTAAGCACAAGCAAAAGCTCTAGACCTAAAACCACATTTAACGTGTGTAGAGCATATTTCTCACCCAAGACATCCTTCTAGGGGAAGGGAGAAGATATGCACAGCCTGTTGACTGATCCCAGCAGTTTCAGTGGAGATCTTCTCCCAGTTGCCCTCTGTCCCCAATTTACTTTTATTCTCTTTTCTTTATGTTTGGGTGGAGTTTGAGTGGCTCTAGTCATAAATACCTTTTATTTCTGATTGGTTTACCTAATGGGAGAGGGGTGGTGGTCATGGCTTGGCACCTGAGGAGGGGATTCAACAGGCTTTTTGGCTTCAGCAGCAGAACATCTTGATTCTCCCTTGTCAGACAGGTAATGTACGGTCTCAATACCACAACATTCTCCCATTCTGCTTCTCTGAGCAGATGTTTATCATTGTGTTGGGGAGCATGTCGACCTCAGTCCATCCAGGGAGTTGCAGCTGCTTTTTACCCTAAAATTCTGAGTCCCCTCTAGGTTTAACTCTATCCATCATCCCACAACTAATATAATTTCATCATGTATGATGAAATTTCATCATGATTGAATTTCATCATGTATGGCAAATGATTTTGGAAGAGCGTTAGAAAATTGTGTATATGGTGAGAAAAGGAAAATTTTTATGCATTTTTCTGTCTTGAAGCAGAGCTTTGATATCTGACACAAAGATATCTCTGCTGAAGCATGTGAACACTCAGGTCTGGACAAAGAAGAGCATGTGTGAAGAACTTTACATGCTGAACTACCCACAGTGAATATTAACTAGCCATAATGAAGGAGGATCAATTAGAGAACACTGAAGTAATGGGCATGGAACCTAATGCATCTAAGCTAAAGCTCGTCAATGTTATTGGAAGGTTGCTCTCTGGTTCTTGTCAGCCCAAAGCACAAAAGACTGAGGAGAGATGCTATTGCTATAAAGCTGCCCAATAATGGATTGTCACTTGAAATAATGGAGAGAAGACTTTTCTTGAAATTGAATGGTCAAAAGCCAAGAGGCTATGAACACAAATTGCAGCATGACAAGTTCAGGTTAGTCATTAATAAAAGAAGGTCATCAAACATTGAAACTTTTTTCTCAGAGAGATTGTGGAGTCACCTACATTGGAGACAGTCAACTCAACTTCACATGAACCTGAGCAATCTGATCAAACTTTGGAATTAATTCTAATTTTTAAGCTGACCCTGCCTTGACTTGGGGATTGGACTTTGTGATTCCCAGAGATTTCTTCCAACTTGAAGCATTCTAACATTTTGTGATAAATCTTGGAGCCAGATTTTGAGACATAGCTCATATAAGCATGTAGCTTGAGATATAGAGAATTTGAAGCAGAGGGGAACACTGAATGACTAAGCAGCATTTACTTGTATACAACAAGATACTGTGTGTAGTATTAGAATATTTCTGAAGAAATTGTCTGCTGCCATTATGGATGAAAGAGTGAATCAGTATTAGAATGATGTGGGGGTGGAACTGTGGTTAGCAAGAGTGGTTTCTTCGCTTGCTTTGTAATACTTATAGATCTATGTTGTTTCATGCTAAAATAGAGGTTTATCTACATGCCCATATGTAAATCTGAATACTGGATTTGTACCTTGTTGATATGATTTATAAATGTTTGTTTATAGCTGCAACTAGCTGATGGAAAGAAGTATTTCCTAAGCAACGTCATCACTTCATATTTGTGATTTGTGGTAAGAAATAGGTTCGACCTATTTAAGTTCTTTGACAGTAAACATTATCATATGTTTTTCCCTGATGGGTTCATTATTTCAAGTGACAGATTTTGGCATTAACAGCGCACTCAAAGGGGGTTTGAGAAGTCCAGGTAAAAAGCTGTTGTGCATAATGAGAAATCTTGCAGGATTATGAACAAGATAATTTTCAGACCTGTGTGTGTGAATACTTGTGAATTAACTATGAACTACAGTGACAGCAAAGAGAAAGGGGAAAGTAATTAATTGCCACATGTTCTTGCAGATCAGCTTTTTCTATGCTGTTTGTCATTATGGTATCTGAAGTACACTGACATATCAGAGGCAGAGGTGACTAATAGAATGATAAGTGGTTTAGCATGGAACAGCCATCAGCCTAGCTGGGGTCAGAAACTAATGTAAAAAACCTGACAGAGTAGGAGAGACGATTTTTTGAAATATCTGGGGAAAGCTCTTCAGTGAAGATCTGAAGACATGTTTATTTTATCTGTGTTACAGGAACAGCCCACATACAACAAAAATCATTCACAGAATTCCTCTGCAATGTACTCTCATAGTATGTACTGCAAAAAGGCAGGGTATGAATAGCAGATACGTGAGAAACTCACACATAAATGTGTTCAGATCTGAGGGAAGGATTACAATTCATTTTGTATTTAGGGAAAGTGGTGTCATTGGTATTCCATTCACTCTTCTTCCATGTCTCAACTGAGGATATCTGTCCAATGGTAAACTCAGAGCTGCTGTTCTACCCTACTCAAATAAATACATCTGAAAATATCACTCTTTATCTGTTTGTAAAGGCCTTAGTCACTTTGACTGAGTTCTCTGTACTAACTGAAAACCCCTTGGGATGTAAGCAAAACATTTATGTATTTGTTCCATATTTTTTTATGTTCCTTAAGGAAACATCTGTTTTATAAAAACAAATCTGCTTGCTGATTTGCTTCTTCTGATAAAAGAAAAGCTGTGAGGGCATTTCTCAGCAATATTATACATGCAGTTTAGTTTGTC